GCTATAACCCTTGAATAGTGAACATTACTAACAATGGACAGGGAAGCAAATGCCACTGCATAGTCGGTTTCAGAAAGACTTTTGCTCGACAGAAGCCAATGGCGGTCAATGGTTCAAGAGTAGACATCTGCACCACAGGAGAAACATGGCTGTACTACGTCGCGCTGCTCGAAAGAAACAGAGTACAAAGAAACAATCAACCACAAGAGCCCAACAAATATAGTAAAACATGAATCTATCCTTCGATTTCCTCACAAGCAACCTGACTGGGGGAACGTACTTTTGGGTGGCGCAATGGTTCCTCGTCGACTGCGGGCACCATTTGAAGGTAAACTCCATATGTTCAGGCAACGACCAACGATATATCGTTATTGAGAAATGAACTTGCTTAGCTAGTCAGCAGCAACAAGTAAAACAGTTTGACTGTAGCAAAAATCTTAGACTCAGTGACAATTACTCATATAAAAAAACCTGTTTAACCTCAGACTTGAGCTGAAATACGACTAAACAGCGATTAAATAGCTCCTTAACAGCTATTTCCTTCTATATGGAAAGTTATAACGAGAAGGAGTACTTCACTAAATGCATCACTTGCTGAATTTGCTTATGCCGTTTTCATATCCAGTCCCGTCTTTAAATCTCTGACACGAGACTCTTCCTCTAGTTTACCGGATATCTAATAAAATTTACGGCATCCCTGGACTTTCTCCTATGACTGGTCATCGTATCTTATCCTGTACAGTGTCCATATGATTGCACACCAACGTAGATGTCAGAACTCGTAAATTTTCTGCTTAAACTAAGCCTAGCTTCATTAACAACAATTTAATGCCAAAGAGTTCCGTGCATGACTACCGTGAAATACCCTTCAGTGTCTTACTGCAAGTGTAAGTACACTTGTACACTTTAGTACAGTATCACAAACGAGTGATGCAGAAAATCACCTTGCTATCTTGCTGTCGCAGGCGGGAGGTTTTTACTCAATGACATCATTACAGATTAAGTTGATATTCACCCAGCGTACAAACTATTTTGATCGGGCTTTCTGACATTCTCAGGTAACACACTTCTCATTTGATCCGTTTAACCAAACCACTCAAGAGCACTTCTGTCCTGAAAGTTAACTGAACACAGTTAACTGTTCTGTATTCAGGAGAAGTAATTAAGTAATTAGACATTGCATTAGCCCCTGCAGCTGCAAACTCTGCCCTATAAATTAAAGCAGTCATAGCTGACAGCATCGTAATGGAAATCAGTTATGCGCCCTAAGCCGAAAGAAAGAATGGTGTCGCTCATCACAAAGTGACAATAAATTATGACCATCATGAAAATATAATGGAAGTCGATATCAGAAAGCCATAAGCCCCTTTTCTTCCCGTATGTCCATCTCTCACTGTCGTAAAACTCAGCGCAGTTGCTCTCTCAGCAAGCGGGATTCTGCGAATCTGCAGTAATCCCCCCCCCCGGAAAAAAAAAAAAA